CTGAAGCCGGACGCTTGTTCAACTGCCAGATGGAAACATGCGTGACTTCAAGACAGGGCAGGCCAGGACAGGACAAGTCAGAGGACTCACCTAAGCAGGAGGTTCTCGGGAACACCACAGATGACAAAGGGCCAAATCCCAGGAGATCAAACGGGACCAGGAAGGGGCGGACCGAGATTCAAGTCAACACCTGGAAAAGAAGTGTGGACGCCCACAGAGAAGGCACGAGACGAATCTGTATTCAGCTGCCAAGAGGACAAGGGCTTCTGCTAGTCTCCTTCACACTGTTCACCGTGCGAGCTGTTGGCAAAACCCAGGCCCTCGAACCTCGGCTCGACCTCGCGCGTGCGTCCTGTCAGAGCCCTGGGCATGCAGCGAGTGCATCGGTGGAAGAATGGATGTCCGACGTGACAGCTCAGACACCAGGCCCTAATCCCGGATGAGTCACTGACTTTAGGACTTAGCAAAGTCGCTGCGTTTTTCTGAGCCTTGGTTTTATCTGTCAAAGGAAGTGTTTATGGTTTTTTTATACCGTAGATAATCTCTAAGACAACTTCCAGCTCCAATTCTTTTTACCTTGTTCAGATTTTCACATATTCTGAATTAACAGAGTGCAGAACACCGTGCTGCGTAGTTTGAAAGAATGTCATGAACAGAAGGACCTCTCGGAGAGTTCCAGGAAAAGAAAGATTCAAAGGAATGAAAGGAACAAGAGCTGAAACGGAGTCTGAAAGACTCGCTCTGCAGATTTCCTGATTTGCACAGGGATCACGTCCGCTAACAGCTACCCTGACAGCACTGTGCACACCATCATGGAAGCCACCAAACTCACAGCCCAAACTTGGCCATGAGCACCTACTGTGGGATGCTGCTCACCTACTATGGGATATTACGCAGTTTACACCCATTGTCTCATTTAACCCACGCAGTGATCCTGTGAGGTAGGAACTGCCATTGTCCCATTTTTCAGGTAAGAAAACTGAGGTTAAAGAGAATAAGGAACTCACCTCTTGTGGGAGTGGGTGACAGAGGTAAAATGTGAACCCACGCAGCCTGACCCCAGAGTGCAGACTCTGCTCCAGAGAATGAGGGCCTGTAGGGTCAGGGTCTGCCCCAGGTCACAGTGGAGCCATCAGACGACATTCTAAACACACCACGGCTGGAGCCCACGCTAGCTTCTCCCTCCCACACTTACACCTCGTGCATCCTGGTTAAGAGCAGGAGGAGATTAACACATCTGAAACTGAGTACCTGGGGCAGGTGACTGCAACCTACAAGCTGTAAGACAACTATCGCACACCTGGGCACTCCACAAACACAGTATTAGCAAGACTCTCCCCTTCATGCTCTGCAAACCACACACAGACTTTCCCCACACATCGGGGATGTTGGGGGACATAACTGAGCAAATTCAACACCCCCAAGCAATCACTGGGGCTGTCAGCCACGACATCAAGATGGCGGCTCACGCTTCTGCTGCACCCAGCACCAGGCACGGCTGTGCTGAGAGCTCCTCATGAACTGTCTTACTCATTCCCACAGCCCCATGCCCTGACAACCTCCTGAGCCAGAGGCTGTCGTCATCCCATTTAACAGACGCAGAAACTGAGGATCAGAAAGAATAAGAACCATGCAGGTCACACAGCTAACAAGTTGCAGAGGCAGGGCTTGAACCTGGGATGCAGAGACCTTAGCAGTGATGCCTCGTAAAAGGGGTTGCCCCACCCAGGAAGCCAGGTGTCCTCTTCCCTAATTAGTTCCCCCATCTCTCAGCTGGGACCTTCCCCCCAGCTCACAATCAGGTGGGCAGTCACGTGGTGTCCCAGTTACGGGCTCATCTGGTGGGCTTCTCTGTCCCATGGCTCCTGTCTCTGGTATCTGGAGGCTCTGCAAGGGTATGTGTCAGTAGGGCTCCTGCCAGGTGCAGAGTGGCTGGCTGTGTCCAAAAGAGAGCAGACCGAGCCCCGTGCTGCACCTCCGGCTATTCAAGCTGCACCCTGGGGTCCCCAGCTCCCCTTCATATTTGTTAGCTGAAGTTTAAGACTTAGAAAGCAATTTTAACAAATTACTTTTGAACCCAGAGTCAACATCTGGATTTTTTTTTTTTTTTTTTTGCACAAAAATAACCACCCCCAAGGGAATCAAAAGCTCACACGAAAATTAATTAATGTTGATTTCAAAGTCCGTTTCTGCGCTCTGGGCCAGCCTTCTGGGATAACCGGAGCAGCGCCGGGTGCCCAGCGGGAGCGAGCCAAACCCCTCGCGGCCAGCATGGCCAAAGCTAACTTTGTGAATTGAGGTCACCATGAAGCTTACCAACTAGGCAGTGACATCTGAAGCAGTGACAACTGCTGCTCTCTGCCACACTGTCCCTCCTGCAGCCTGCAGGGAGGTGGCCTCCTCATTTGCTGACCCCGCCCAGGAAGCTCTACCCGCAGGACAGGGCACCCCCGGGGGCAGGTCGTTTGGCTCCCCCGGGCCTCTGAGTTTCCTACTCAGATTTGCTTTCTAAAGAAATTGCTCTGGACACAAAGCGGAGGGTGGAGGGGAAGGGGGCATGCTCAGAGCCCCGGTGAGGGGGAGGTTGTGTGAGTCCAGCTGAACCGAGGTGGCACCTGGGCCGAGGCCACCACGGTGGGCGTGAGAGGCACGGCTCGGGGAGAGGAGGCCTGGCCGGTTTTGGTGGATTGGGGGTTTTCCTTCCTGTGTTTTACCCGGTGTGCTATGTGGGTACAGCAGTGTGTTGTTGTAGGACAAGTAGAAACTAAGCACATTTAGTTTTTTTAGATAGCCAGTAGGGCATGGCGACCTTGGCCCCCGACACCGCTGAGGGCCGAGCCGAGGCACGAGCTCTCGAACCCTGACTTCTCACTCATGAAAAATGGGGACGGGACCAGACCTCGAAAACCTCGTTAAGCTGGGAAGTGCAGCCAGTCTACTCGCACTGGAGACTAGTGTCTCACTTGTTACTCCAGGTGTCACCACCTGCAGGAGTAAGGACAGAGAACCCAGGGCCACAGAGCAGGACGAGGAAGGCCAAGAACCGGGCTGTCTGGGGCCTGTCGCCTCAGGGGCCAGGTGCGACCCAGCAGGGCAGGTGTTGAACCTCACTCTGTCACAGGAAGCGAAGAACTGGCCCAGGTCTGCCTTAGGCGTGCAAAGACGCCTCTAAGAAATGCACTGTGTTGAAGACACGAAAGGGCAGGTGCCACTTTTTTAAAAAGAGGCAAACGGGAAGATGGCGGACGAATAACACCGCCAGACAGAGGGTCTCTACAGAAAAGACCAATTCTAGCAGAAACTAGAGGAAAGAAGCAAGAAGACGAGCATACAGCGGACAAGGGCCGGAAGGAGGGGTACCTGAGACCCCGGGAGACTCCACGGGAGGAGGCTGCGGAGGAGAACTGGAGGCTGAGACCACCGGAGCAGCCCGGAGACCAGCGGCAAGGGT